CTGATGCATTTTCTTCCTGTTTCTCAACCCTATCGTCCTGTGCACAAAATGGAAAGGAAATCCACAGTTAGTCCAGCAATTTAGTGCGCATGTAGTTGCCTTATACATGGGAGACAGCCAAGTTTAAACTGCAGGCTTTATCTAAGGTTGTGCACCATGTGTCAATATTTCATACTTGTTTTTGGGACATGGGCAACACCATTAAAGTGCTACTTATTAATTGGTGTTACTGTCAGTCATTATTGTTGCATGTTATTAGTCGCTGTTAAGCCCACAAACAATTGGATTCTTATCAAACTTGGTTTCACAACTTGCTCTGGTGGGATCTGAACTTGTGATTTCTTGTCAAATAGTCGGATCAGGTAGTGGTGATGGACAGAGCAAAGGCGATGGACAGATACCTTCGCTTGGATGTCACAGGGTAGTCCTGGATAGCAAAGCCTCACTGACCTCAAATGGGACGATATGCAGCATCACTGTTGGCGTACATGAGGAGCAAGTCAGTGGCCTTGCAGATCTGCTCCGCCGATAAAGATATACAGAGCAAAAGCAGGAAGTCACACAGTGGTTTCGCAAATGGAGGAAAGGAAAACCCCATAATGGTAACGCAGAAAGCACCAAGAATATTTTAAGGGCTGACCAAACAAACAACATCAAACAAAACCGTTTTAGCAAAAATACATCATGCACATGTTCAGCTATATCACTTAACATCCATAACCATTAAAACAAACTTCCACATTAGATCTTAACAAAATCACAACAAACTCTACTCCTGAATGTAGATCTGAAATAACATCCCATTTCTTTGTCAATAATAGAGCATTATTTTGTTTAACCACTTACCTTAAATAACTGTCTTCCTGAAAAAAATGACAGAATCAGCACTAACACAAATTCACAAGGGAACTATGCTACAAAATCTCAAAGATTAATCGCATGGTAATTATTTCAATAAATATATTTCATAACTTTGTAAATTTAAAATGCAAGGAACAGACAAAATCACACAGCAAGGCCTCATTACAAGTCATTTCACTTCAACAGCAAAAATTGATTAGGGACAGTCAGCATGGTTTTGTGGGAGGAAAATCATATCTCACAAACTTGACTGAGTTTTTTGAGGAAGTTAACAAAAAGATTGACGAGGGCAGAGCAGTAGAGGTTGTTTACTTGGACTTTATGAAAGCCCTTGACAAGGTTCCACATGATAGACTAATTAATAAAGTTAAGTCACATGGGATTCAAGGTGAGCTTGCCAATTGGATACAGGGCAGGAAACAGTGGTGGTGGAGGGTTGTTTTTCAGACTGGAGGCTTGTCACCAGCAGTGTACCACAGGGATCGGTTTTGGGCCCTCTTTTGTTGGTCATATATATAAATAATTTGGACGAGAATATAGGAGGCATGGCTAGTAAGTTTACGGCTGACACCAAAATTGTAGACAGTGAAGAAGTTTTTCCAAGATTACAAAGGGATCAAGATCAAATGGATCAATGGGCTGAAAAATGGCAGATGGAGTTCAATCAGGATAAATGTGGGGTGCTGCATTTTGGTAAAACAAACAAGGGTAGGGCTTATACAATTAATAGTAGGGCCCTGGGTAGTGTTGTAGACCAGAGGGACCTAGGGGTTTGGGCACATAATTCTTTGATGTTTACATCACATATAGACAGAGTGGTTAAAAAGGCTTTTTTACTCAGTCCTTTGAGTATAAGAGTTTGTAAGTCCTGTTGAGGTTGTACAGGGCAATTGTGAGGCCTCTTCTGGAGTACTGTGCCCTGTTCTGATCGCTCAATAACAGGAAGGATATTATTAAGCTGGAGAGGGTTCAGAAGAGATTTAGCAGGATGTTCCCAGGTAAGAAAGATTTGAATTATAAAGAAAGATGGAAAGGCTGGGACTTTTTTCACTGGAGCGTAAGAGGTTGAGGGGTGGCCTTATAGAAGTTTATAAAATCATGATGGGTATGGATAGGGTTAATGGTAGTTGTCTTTTCCTTAGAATGGGGGGATTTCAAGGCTGGGGAGCACATTTTTAAGGTTAGAGGAGAGAGATTTGAAAAAGACATGAGGGGCAATTTTTTTTACAAGGAGGGTGGTTCGCGTGTGGAATGAACTTCCAGAGAAAGTGGTGGACGTGGGCACAACTACAATGTTTAAAAGACATTTAGATAAGTACACGAATAGGAAAGGTTTAGAGGGATATGAGCCAGGAGCTGGCAGGTGGGACAAGTTTAGTTTGGGATTATATTCGGCGTGGACTGGTTGGACTGTTTCCAGCTGTATGACTCCATGACTGTAACTGCACTTAATGTCAGAAGTTTCATTTTGACACTATCACATGCTGGGCCTGCTATAAGCTCACGTGAGCATATCAGTGGCATTGTGAAGCAACATCTCCTGCCTTCTAATCCTCCCAGTCATTGTTGACCTTCTCTCTGATCAATCCTTCTGGTCACCGCCAAGCTTCCCCTCTTGTCTATCCTCCCGGTATTCTAAACTGCAGGGATGGTCCTGTTCACCATGACTAACAAAGAAAGTTGTGAAAATAAATTGTTGGAAAGATTCCTGTTCTCCTGACTGGCCACTGTTTATATCATTATGAACCCATTTATATCTCTTTTTGGCTTTCCCATCGACATAATGACAGTCAATAAGGAGAATGGCCACTGTTATGTTCGAGGCGAGAAAGGTTGAAGATACAGTCTCTTCACGGTAGAGTCCATGTCCCTCCTGCATTGAGGAGTACAGCTTGTTGTGTTATTGTTAGGAATTCTGGCATCTTGTGCATCCCCAGTTTCAATCACTCCACCAGAGGTATTCTGTCAAGCACTGGAATTCCCTTTCTAAATCTCTCTTCCAACAGTCTTATTAAAACATGGCTCTTTGATGAAGCTTTGGCCAAATGTTTTGCTTTTGGCTTATTTCCTGATATCTCCTTACGTGGCTTGTTGCCAAATTTTATCTGATTAAGCTCCTAAAAGCAGCAGCTGAAAGCATCATTACTCCAGCTCCTAACTATTCTCCTGCAATTCCAGTTTGTAAGTGTCTGCACCTGGGTTATTTCCTAGGTTGCCTTGTAGAAGGTGGTAGAAGGTCCCAGAATTGAGTTAGGGAACAGAGCTGCCTTACAACTGCTTCCATCTCCATTCAATACCAAAGTAACGACCTGCTGTGGGCCAGTTTTGCCACTAACATTGCTGGAAGCTGTTCTTGACAGGGAGTCCATTCTGCATTTACAATGACCTCAGATTCTGAAAAATGGGCCAGGACCAGTCCCATTGGGAGGCCAGTGCAGAGGTGCTAGAACTCCATTCTAAAAAGCTGGATTCCTCTCCTTTCCATTTGCTGGAAATCCAGCCAAGTGAATGACTCAGAAAGTGATTGCTGACTGTAGTCCTTAACAATGTGCTACAATCAGCACTTGGAAAGGTCAAAGTTGTTAATTATTTGCTGGAAAGGCTGAAGATCAGAATGCAGGTCAGAGACGGGAGAAAAAAGTATTACACTGTAGAAGTTTGAACTTTTAGTCTCACTTGATTGAAAACTGAAAGTGGTTCTCTTTTTGATAGTTACCAATATTGTTCCTTTGATGTGGATGTTGGTTAGCTTAGTTGGCTAGATGGTTGGTTTGCAATAAAGAGTAATACCAACAGGGTTCAATTTCTGTACTGGCTGAGGTTACTGTGAAGGACTCTCCTTCCTTATCTCACCCCTTACCTCAGGCACGGTGACTCTCAGGTTAAACCACAGGTTATCTCTATTAAGAAAACAGAAGGACTATGGTCACTTTACTCCTTTTGTAACAACATCTTGGTGTCTACCAGTAACCAGAAACTGAGCTGGACTAGCCAAGTCAATACAAAAGCAGGTAAGAGGCTAGAAATCCTGCAGCAAATAACTCATGCTTGACTCCCCAAAGCCTGTCCACCACCTACAAAGCACAAATCAGAGTATGATGGAATATTCCCCACTTGCTTGGATATATGCAGCTCCAACAATACTCAAGAAGCTTGACACCATCCAGGACAAAGCAGTCCACTTGACTGGCAGCAGATCCGCAAACAGTGCGTAACATCTACAGGATGCACTGCAGAAACTCATCCCTAGATGGCACCATAAAAACCCAAGCCACTTTCATCTGGAAGTACGAGAACAGCAAGTACATGGAACAGCATCGTCTGCATCACAAGTTCCCCTTGTCCTGGAAATATAAGAAGAAGGGTCCCGATCCGAAACGTCAGCTTTCCAGCTCCGCAGATGCTGCCTGGCCTGCTGTGTTCCTCCAGCTCCACACCGCATTATCTCTGACTCCAGCATCAGCAGTTCTTACTATCCCTGGAAATATATCATCGTTCCTTCAGCGTCATCAAATCAAAATCCTGGCACCCACTCCCTAACAGCATCATAGGGGTACTTATACCATGTGGACTGTAGCAGTTCAAGAAGGCAGCTCATCACTACATTATCAATGGCAACGAGGGATGGATGGACAATGAATGCTGGATCAGCCAGCAACACCCGCATCCCGTGAATGAATAAAAACATGCAAAGAAATCAAATCCTCTTGATTATTAATAATTGCATGAGACATCCATGTTCTCTACAGTTAAAAGAGGCAGACACAATATGGGGACAGCTGTGTCTCAGTATGCAGCATTCTACCCTCTGGGTTAGAAAGTTGTGGGTGCAAATCTCACTCCAGGTCTTGAGCACAAAAGTTAACAGTGATTCATTCACTTCTGGAGGTTCTGTCTTTTGGGTTGAAGATAAGGTCAGACCAGTTCTCTGAGGGGGATGCAAAAAATCCCATGGCACTATTTCAAAGAACAGCATAGGACCTATCCCAGTGTCTTAGCCAATAGTTATCCCACAATTAATATCACAAAAACTGATTTATCTGGTCATTATCACATGCATGTCTGAGGGAGCTTGGTGCGTGCAAACTGGTTGCTGTGTTTCCTTGATTATAACAACAATTATACTTGAAAAGTTTTCCCTTGTCTGTAAAGTACTTTGGGATGTCTGGGGGTTGTGAAAGCTGCAACACAAAGGAAGTCCTTTCTGTTTCAGTTTTGTTGAATGTGTCTCAGAACTTTACTTGGCACCTAAGAGATGAAAAAAAAGTAAGTTTTAAGTAATTTGAAGTCAAAAGATTCAGAATCAGCCCTTGTTTGAACAACATGCTACTAAAACTGAGAATTTGCAAGAGGATAAAATAAGGCTGAAGTTCAATCAGAACTGAGGCAAGATTTAGCAATGCTTCTCAAAAGCTGTCTAAAGCCTTTCTTGTGTCTGGTAAACTATCTACTGCAGACTTCTGCCACGAGTCATATAAGAAAAAGTTCCTTTTGACCAAATGCCTTCGATCAAAAAAAAGACTGCAAGAAGCCTAGGGGTCTGTAGTAGGCTCAGTTGGTGTTTGACGCTACAGGTCACAGCAAGAATCCATCTCTATGAACGTTGGGAAAGTCAATAATGTGTACAGCACAGGGTGATAGCCTTGAATGAGCCAGTGTAGATGAGTCACATAGAGTGTACTACATTACTTGCCAAATTGCCAAAAAAAAGCAATTACAGAATGCAAGCTGAACCCTGAAAACCTGTTCTAAGTAAGTGGCTTTCAAATCCCACTCACTCCATCAAACTAAGCCCACTACAAAGCCTAAGAGTCCACTAAGAATTTGGTTTTAAATTACAAATTCACGCATCTCCCCCTCTCCTTCACGTCCATCTTCTCATTTTTGTAACCTCCTCCAATCCTCAGAATTCCACGAGTTCTAAGCTTGATCGTGCCCACTTCCTCTTGCCCCTTGCCACATTTGCTAGTACTTTTCATCAACCACCACTGTACACACACCATTTAAACCCTTCCAAGGTACTTCAAAACGAGCACACATCAGATATAAACAGACAATGAGGCAAAGAATAAGGCAGTAAATAATTAGGATTCTGTCTCCAATATAAACTTCAACGACCATAAAAACAGCCAGTAAGATTGCAATGCAAGATTTACCCATGCCAGTTGTTTAAAATGAAGGCACCACAATAGCTACATGCTGACTGCACTGTTCAATGGCTAAATCCATTACTGCTTAAAAGTACCCTGCACGGTATGGGGCTAGCCAACACCTCTTACAGTGGAGATGCACTGTGACTGCAGTTAGCCAGTCCCACGCTGTTAGGGTACTTTTGGGTAGTAATGGATTTTAAGGTCCCTACTGGTACATGTAGCCATTATCACTACATAGCAGGAGGATTCCTGAACATGTGGTCCAGGAAAACTGGAATATTATTTACAAAAAGCAGGTTGAACATTTTAAAACACCTAATGTTCACAGGAACTCCTTCCCCATAATTAACAAACTGAAGCAATTGTAATATGAAGAGGACAGTGGATCTCTTTTGCAGTTTATAATGGAGGTCATTTAATATCTTTTTAACTCCAAGAAAAACAGGTTACTTCACAACTCAATGAACTATAGAGGTCTCTACAGTGCCCACCACAAAGCAGATATGGCCTTGGATTAAACCATGACTACCCTGCACCTTTCAACCCCTTCACAGCCAGGCAGGAAGAGGGTTGTTATCCTGGTTAATAAATGATGGTTATAATCCCAAAATTCAAAAACCCTGCTAAATTCTGATGCTTTCACATGCATCAAAATATGAATGGTGTGAGTCAGACCCTGAACGAGGCATCCACTAACAGCTGCTGGGATCCACTCAAGATTCAAAATAGTGACATTGGTGTCACAAACCAATTCTAAAGTCATACAGACTTACAGACTCACCAGTCAGGGGCATAAGTAAGCCATTCTGCCCCTCAATCCTGCTCCACCATTCAAGGCTGATCTGACTGCATCCTGAAATCCACAGTCCCATCTGTCCCTGATAACCTTTCAACCCCTTGCTTAACAAGAATCTATTTACTTCTGCCTCTAAAATATTCATGAACTTTCTTCTTGTAAAGTTGGCAAAAGCTGAGTTCCAAACACTTATAAATTTCTTGGAGGAAAGGTTTTGCCTTATCTCTCTTTGAAATGGATGACCCCTAATTTGTAAGCAGTGACTCCTTAGTTTTAGATTCTCTAACAGGAAACATCCTCGCCATATGCACTCCGACAAGACCCCTCAGGATTTTATATCTTTCAACAGTCAACTCTTCCTCCTGTAACTCCAGTGGACAGAAGCCGAGCCTGTCCAAACTTCCTTCCTAAGACAACTCCCTCCCTATTTCTAGAACTGCCTCTAATGCATTTATATTCTTTCTTAAATAAGGAGACCAATACAGTGCACGGTACTCCAGGTGTCAAAACAGGAGGTGTCCTGGGTAGTGAACACAAGGTGGAAGGAGTCAATCTATCAGAAGAAGCCAAGACATAAAAATGGTTCCTCCCTTCAAACTCTTTGTCAACTAAGAAAGACAGATTTGCTCTCCCACAGTTTGCAAGAGGTCCCTGGGCCTCCGTAGCTCTGACATCCCTTTGCTCACCACACAGAAAAGGGAATGCCCAGTTGTCCCTGAACTGTCAGAGTGAGAAAGGAATTCCCAAGCCTCTCCACATTCCCAAGGCCATTCCAGGGTTACCTCTGCAACCACTGAAATTTGAGGAATATTCCTGCTAACACACTCCGAGTCCCAGAGGCAGCTCCTGAAGCCAAACTTTCAGTTGTGCTCACTGACTGTGTAAGGGATCTGATCAGGTATCAGGTGGGATTCTGGGAGAAATGATTTAAGGTGAGACCTTGCCGTTAAGGTCAATAAGCTCACTGTAACCCCAATCCCAGTGGGTGAATCACTCTGTTCACACACACTGCCTTCCTGCTTTCCCTCCCCCATAAAAACCTAGGCCTATTCCTCTCCTGCCAATGCAGCTTAGTTGATCCCCTTTCTGAAAAAATGCCTCTTAGCCCACCTATAACACGCTAACTGTTGCATCCCTGCGTAATGCTCACAGGGTATGATTCTTTTGTCACTCATTAGGTTCCTTTTCAGTGATCCAATATTGTGAAAGCCATCACCCCACTAGGAACAGTCCAACCACTACTTTAGGTATCATGCTTCCCACTGTCAAGAAATAATCAAATCATGTTAACAGTACACAGAAAGAAACATCTACAGTGAACTTCAAACAACTCGCTGCTGCCAGTCTTGAAAGTTGCGACAACCATAATTTATCTCTAACTAACTTCAAGGATCTACTCAAACCGTTTTCACGCAAAGGGTAGCTGAACCATGGGCATTTACAAGGACAAAGGTAAGTAGCAACTATGCAAGGCAATGACAGTCTGGACCTCAGGCTATGTCACAGAAGTTCACCCAGTAATTTTAAAACAGTTCAGTAACTTATGCTGCAACAGGGTGGCACGGTGGCTCAGAGGTTAGCACTGCTGCCTCACAGCACCAGGGACCTGGGTTCAATTCCACCCTCGGGCGACTGTCTGTGTGGAGTTTGTATATTCTCCCCGTGTCTGCGTGGGTTTCCTCCGGGTGCTCCGGTTTCCCCCCACAGTCCAAAGATGTGCAGGCTAGGTAGATTGGCTGTGCTAAGCTGCTTGTAGTGTTCAGGGATGTGTACATTAGGGGGAATGGGTCTGGGTGGGATGCTCTGAGGGTCGGTGTGGACTTGTTGGGCCAAGGGGCCTGTTTCCACACTGTAGGGATTCTAAGAGATAGGTGGTTTAGGGACCATCTCAAAGAAGGACACAGCTGGAACATGGGTTCCAAATGAGGTGATGACAAAGTTGGAAGAAATATCAGACTCTGCCCTCAGTGTCAGAAAACTCTTCTGATTTACTCTGTCTTGGGTTCATTATTGCCTCTGTTCTACAATCTTTATGCTCTAACAGGAAATCTGTTGGCTTCAAATTCAACATATTGAAAAGATAGCAGGAAACTGTCCAAACAAACCAATTCTACAGCAAGAAACACTAGCTGGGTCACAGGAATGTCCTTTATTCATTCACAGGATAAGGGCATCGCTGGTTAGGCCAGCATTTATTGCCCATCCCTAATTACCCAGAGGGCAGTTATGAGTCAACCACAATGCTGTGGGTGTGGAGTCACATGTAGGCCAGACCAGGTAAGGATGTCCCTAAAGGACATTAGTGAACCAGATGGGTTTTTCCAACAATCAGCAATGGATTCATGGTTATCATTAGATCCTTAATTCCAGATATTAATTGAATTCAAATCTCACCATCTGCCGTGGCAGGATTTGAACACAGGTCATTACCTGGGTCTCGGGATTAACAGTCCAGCAATAATACCACTCGGCCATTGCCTCCCACTACCAGCATTTCCAAAGCTTTTGAGACTTTTCAACAAATGTTTCATTGTGTTACTTTCAGGCACACAGTGGTATTTGACAATAAAATATATGAAAACAGTTGCAAGACTTTGCCGTCAGCAAATTTACAATTTAGTTTCAGCAATACATCTGTTGTAGCTACCAGTCTCCGAAAAGAATTTCAGAGAATCTACTGGGTACAGCCACAAATATTTCTGTCTGAAAAGTAAAATCAAAGTATTTTACGTAGCCCTAACTCAATTGGACTTAAAGTGCTATCTTGTTTAACAAAAGAATGTAAGGAATGCAATGTTTCAATCTGCCATAATGTGGAGGTGCCAGTGTTAGGGGTGAACAAAGTCAGAAGTCACATGGCACCAGGTTACAGTCCAACAGGTTTATTTGAAATCACAAGCTTTCGGAGCCTCGCCCCTTCATCAGGTGAAGTTAGAGCTTCTCTCTCACTTCACCTAATGAAGGGGCTACGTTCCGAAAGCTTGTGATTTCAAATCCACCTGTTGGACTATAACCTGGTGCCATGTGACTTCTGACTCAATCTGCCATATACAGAACTTTCTGCAAAACACTTGGTACACTGGGAGAACAATACATCAAAAGTAGGCTAAAATGGTTTCTGCAATAACTATTTACTGGAACAAAAGAATGCTCTGGGTGGCTGAATAGGTTGAATCAGCTACGTTTTGCATTGAGTCATCTCTGGATTATTACCTGAGCCATATTGTTAGAACACTCATGAATTTTTTTGTTATTTTGATTTCTTTTGTATCATTTTTGGTTTGGAGCTGTGAACTGTG